GGTAAACATAGAGACAGAGAGAGTAGCAGAAGCCCTCCTAGAGATATTTTGCTGAGTAGGCTTTCCAAGAGAAATCATGAGTGACAGAGGGATCCAGTTTACTTCAGAACTGATGCAGGAAGTGTGTAGACTAATCAGTACTCGACAGCTCTTTACCACCCCGTACAATCCTAAATGTAATGGACTTTGTGAGAGACTAAATGGAATTTTAAAAAGCATGCTAAAGAAGATGTGCCAAGAGAGACCATGTGACTTGGACAGGTACTTGCAGGTAGTATTATTTACGTATCGAGAAGTCCTACAAGCAAGTACAGGATTTTTACCCTTTGAGTTACTGTATGGAAGAATGGTATGAGGCCGATGCAAATATTGAAAGAGTTTGTTTGTTTGTTTGTTTTGAATTTCGCGCAAAGCTACACGAGGGCTATCTGCGCTAGCCGTCCCTAATTTAGCAGTGTAAGACTAGAGGGAAGGCAGCTAGTCATCACTACCCACCTCCAACTCTTGGGCTACTCTTTGACCAACGAATAGTGGGATTGACCGTCACATTATAACGCCCCCACGGCTGAAAGGGCGAGCATGTTTGGTGTGACGGGGATTCGAACCCGCGACCCGCAGATTGCGAGTCGAGTACCCTAACCACCTGGCCATGTCCGGGCTATTGAAAGAGCTATGCATGGGAGAAGAAGAGTCAAAAGTAAGGAACACATACCAGTATATGTTAGACCTCAGAAACCGACTGGAGGAGACCTGTCAACACGCTCAATAAAGCTGTATGCAGCTCAAGGCAGTCCGAAGAATTTCTATGACACGAAAGCCAAGGATCGACGTTTCAGGGTCTGACAGAAGATCTTAGTTCTGCTGCCCACAGACCACAACAATCTCACCCTGCAGTGGAAAGGATCTTTTGAAGTACAGGAAGCACTCAACAGAATGGACTACAAGGGAATATAAACGGGAAGACTAAGATCTACCACACCAATCTGTTGAAGAATTATTTTGGTCGAAAAGTAGATCTTACGGGTGCAGCTATTGAAACAGAGATGGATGTTGCAGGTGTAGCCATAATAGATGCAGAACCAGAAGACAGTGACTATGTCTTAGAAGATGAGGACATACTGGACCTAAGAGATGAAGCATACAAAGATGTCAACATCAGTGATGAACTGACTGGCAAGCAGAAAAAGAGTTACGAGACCTACTGTGCCAGTATGCAGATATCTTCACAGATAAACAAAGAAAGACAGATCTTATGCAACACAAGATCGAGACCACAACCAGGGATCCAGTCAAAGTAAAGCCCTATCAGATGCCTTATGCAATGAGAGACCTGATAAAACAGAAAGTTGAGGCAATATTGGAAGCTGGAATCATGAAGCCTTCAAATTCAGCCTACTGTTCACCAGTTGTAATCGTGAAGAATTTATTGCCAACAAGTCACAGCACCTACTGTAGAAGATTCCTAAGACCAAAAACAAAACACAATATATACTTATAGTTACTATTAAGAAGTGTGAGTAAAAGCCTTTAATTGACAATTAGCGAAACTTAACATTTGATAACTGTCATGGCTAAAGTACACTTCTCTTCCCTATAGGCTTTCCATAATCCATCTAGTGTATGAGGAATTATTTCCCAGCGCCTGTTTCAACAATCCAATCGTACAGAAATCCATGGGATAGCATAAATACCCGTTTCATTCTTCAACTGATTGAGATATGATGGGAAGTCTTATCTTTGTGAACCCATATCCTATTGACTTCGTTTCCAGACAGAGACCCTTGATTATGTTGCGTACCATTGCTTGGGACATTTGGATAGCTTTTGACACCAACCTTTGTGTTCATGGATTCCCACAGATGTTTTTAGACTTCTGGCAGGTATATTTTTGTGTAGTCCTGGTTCCTTAAGTAAATCTACCTTCCTTTGTTTTTCAATCATTAAGTACAAAGAACATCCTCGACTTAGACATCCTCTGGCCCGAAATGGCCAGGTGGTTAGGGCGCTCGACTCGTAATCTGCGATTTCCGGGTTCGAATCCCCGTCCCCCAAACATGCTCGCCCTTTCAGCCGTGGGGGCGTTATAATGTCCTGGTCAATCCCATTATTCGTTGGTAAATGAGTAGCCCAAAAGTGGGCGGTGGGTAGTGATGACTAACTGCCTTCCCTCTAGTCTTACACTGCTAAATTAGGGACGGCTAGCGCAGATATCCCTCGTGTAGCTTTGCGCAAAATTCGTAACAAACAAACAAACAAACTTAGACACCCTAAATTTATGATTTGAATACGTCTTAGTGATATGAAGAAATTAATATTTTAAGGCGGAAAGTGCTTTTACATACCCTTCTCAAATGCAAGCAGTTTTCGGTAGCATCACTCCACTTACGAAATGCCAAACAATGTGAAAATGTAGTTCTGATACATTGAGTACCACCGCGACTTTAGATCGACTGTTGTTACATGACTTGCTAATTTGCTTATTCAAAATCGTTTTAATATAACGTACTCAATCCTCTGTATTCATCATACATGATACATGTTGCTTGCCTTACAGAACCTGTATTCATTGTTATAGTGGAAAATGTCCCTTCCGATAACATGTTTCCGGCTTTAAGTTAATCGTTTTTGTTACTTTTAAATTTTAATATCTTTATATAAAAAAAACATTTTGTTCCTGCTGAGAAAATAAACTCTCACTAAATTCAACATGAAGAAGGCCTAAGAAAATGTTAACATAATCGAGTGAAGTGTTTGTGATGGCGCAACTGTCGTATTAGGCGGAGATATATTACTTCTTATAATTAACATTGATTTTTAAAACGTATAACTAGATTCGCACTGTTGATTATTCATCGTATCTTTCTTTTTTACTTGGCCTGTTTCTAAATCACGATACTGTAGCTGATATTTTTTGTGAATACTAATTATGAATTAAAGATGTTATATGGTTTTAATTAAAGAGAAAGTTTACATAGTTTGATTGCATAACCCGTAGGCATTGCGGTTATCTAACGCTTGCACCAATTTAGGTTTTGTTAACTACGTGTCTCTTTGGAGTTCCCGGGTGAGTTAGTGGCAAGTTTCCGGACATAAGACGTTAAGATCTAGAGTTTGGCTTCCTGCGGTGAACTGAGCACAGATAACCTATTGTGTAGCTTTGCGCTTAAAACAACAGCAACAACAATTTCTCTTGGGAATGATTGCTCAGTCACATCATTAGTGGAATGATTCGAATTGATAAGAGTATTATAAAATATTGTTGCGTAGCGAGGTCACGTGACTAGTGTCACGCCACCTCTCGAACCTTCGGGAAATTACTAGATATAGGGTAGTCTGGTATATATATCAGAGGGTGACAACGTGACGGAACAATGTGTGTAGGTAATGAGTAATTGAACTGCAGTCAGAGAGAGACGTGAATTATAGTTTGTTATAGCG